TTCGGGCTTCAATCTTCTGTGTAGACTTCTATTGGCAATGGGAAGCATGAAAACATTTTTGCTTGAATATTTATGGTAATAAAAGCCACAATTTTTCACAGGTGGCAACTTATACTGTTTATCTTTATCTCTTTTTTCTTCATTATTGTGCGTTATAGTTATTTCTCTATAGCGTATTATTATAAGCATTATTGTGTGTTTCTGTGTTTATTATCTTAATAGCGTACTATTTTGAGCGTTATTGTGTTCTATAGTGTTTTGTATCTTTATAGCGTACTGTTTTGGCCATTACTGGCCAGTGTTGTGGCTATGATTGTGTGCTATATGTTTATAGTGTAGTGTTTTGAGCATTATGGAGTTTATCTCGATAGCCCAGTGTAGCTGTGTGCACTATTGTGCGCTATCTGTATAGTGTTATTGTATTACTATCTCAACTAGTGCTACTCAAGCCCACATTATCAGCGCAAATAGTAGAAGGAACACCGTTAGATCGCGCTGACTTTATAAACAGCGATAAGGAACTATATGCAGGTGAGTCTGTCCAGGTGAGTTGTACAGGTAACCTGTGCAGGTGTGTGAACAGGTAAGGTCCCATGGACCAGGTAAGGGAACTTTTCCCGTGTGTGGTTCAGGGTGTTTTTCAGCGCGGAGTCGTTAATAACACTTAAGCCTTTCTTATCAGCAGCAGTGGTCCAACACCGCTATCGGCATAAAGGCTTTTATCAGGTTGATTTTTAACAGTTACACAAAATGCACACACGGTGAGTGTTTGGTTAGCGGGGCGCGCATTCCTACCGTACGGCGAAACGGGACACAACACGTTACAAAGCACACACCACTGTGTGCAGGGGCAAAGTATAACGAGCAAAAATTACATTAATAGATGAAAAAATGCCCCCTCAGCGCGGCAGTGTTACCCACAGTCCCAACCAAGTCCGGCGGCTAGCCTCCGCAGCAGGCTTATAGAACTGGCGGTTTGGTGGCTGTTTTCTGATTAGCCCAGTTCATAAAAACGGGGGTAATTCAACCAGGCCGGCTATGCTGTCTATATACAATCAGAAAATAGCACATAAAAACTCCAGAAGACCCCAAAACTACCAGTTTTTGGCACGCTTATCCAGGTTTTTAACCCACCCTGACCCCGCCGCGATTAAAAAATCATAACGCTTGATATTTGCGTGCAAATCACACATCAGAAGATACGGCGTATCTCCGGATGCCGGCGAAGTTTAAACCCGGGTCCTTCAGGAACAAAAGCCGGGCCGAGCGTTTGGACTCGCCATAGCTTCTCCTCTGTTCGCTCTCCCTAACAACCAAACGTCTGCGTGTGTGGATGTGTGTGGACGGTGTCAGGATAACGTTATATGTTTGTGTGTGGAAGGGTGTAGATATATTTGTAGGAGGGCATTCACACAGGGGAGATGTTGACCAAACGGTTTTGCCTTGAACAGCTCGAAGACAAATATCACCCATACATATATATATATATATATATAATTCACTACATACTGTGTGTGCGTGTGTGTTTGTGTGTGTGTGTGTATGTGTGTGACGGTGTGAGGATATATGTTTGTAGTAGGGCATTCACACGAGATGTTGTCCTAATGCAAACGGTTTGTCCATTTTGCCCTTAACAATTCGAAGCCGAATATCCCTCATTGGCTTGTCTATACCAGCATTTCTTGCAATGCCAAATTCCAGTACATATTGCCATATGGCAATATATGCATTATACATGTAGGACAATATATATATATATATATAAGTTTGTGTAAGTAAAACTGTGTTTGTATAGCTGTTGTAGAAAGGGTTGGTCCATTTTGCCTTCAACAGTTCGAAGACAAATATAATCTAAATGTTGCGATATGCGCTATTCACTACATACTGTGATCTTCTATGCCAGCTATGTTTGTATGTACGTGTGTGTAGATGTGTGTGGACGGTGTCAGTATATATGTTTGTAGGAGGGCATTCACACGGGGGAGATGTTGTCCTAATGCAAACGGTTTGTCCATTTTGCCATGAAAAGTTCTATGACAAATATCACCTAAATACATCTTTTGTAATTCACTAGTTATATAAAAATATATCGAGTGATTGTCATAGTTATACATGTAGGGCGATATAATTATGTGTAAGTATGTTTGTAGGAGGGCATTCACACGGGGTAGATGTTTTGTCAATTTTGCCCAGAACAATTCGAAGACAAATATCACCTAAATATTGTGATATGCATAATTCACTACATACTGTGATCTTCCATACCAGCTATGTGTATGTGTGTGGACGGTGTCAGGATATGTGTTTGTAGTAGGGCATTCACACGGGGGAGATGTTGACCAAACGGTTTGTCCATTTTGCCCTGAACATTTCGAAGCCCAATACTAGTATCACTTGTAGTCTTGCCTTTATTTCTGCTTCAACGAAAAAAAAACTATCACCTAAATATTGTGATGTGCATAATTCACTACGTACTGTCATCTTCTATAATACCAGCGTTTCTTGCAATGGATTCAAATGGCAAATTCCAGTACATATTGACACGTGACAACCTATGCATTGTACATGTGTGTAAGTATGTTTGTACGGGATAGCTGTTGTACAAACGGTTGGTCCATTTTGCCTTGAATAATTCGAAGACAAATATTACCTAAGTATCGTGTTATGCGCAATTCACTATGAACAACTTTATTATACTATTTGCGCTGACAACTTATAAAGTCTGTCATTTTGCATACCAAGATTTGTATGAATAGATTCAGATAGCAAATTCAAGTACATATTGACATGAGACACTTGCATTATACATATAGGCCAATGAAGATATCTGGATGCTAGAAATTCCTTCAATAATTGTAAAAACACATTCAATCTTCAACCCACACTGTATAGAGATTTTCTCTCTTTGTCTCTTAGAGTTACCGGTGCTTGAGTGTAACAAGTCGCTCGGTGTGATATAGCTAGCTGCCGCTATATAACTATCTTGGCTATATTTTGTCCCTATTTGGCGAAATAAGACTGTTTTTTGACCCCGCGTTTTAATAGACTAGTACAGCCAATCAGGACAGCCCTGGAGACATGCGGAAGTCAGGTGACACTTGACCGGTCAGCTGCACGGAGGGTCTACGTCATGCGTGACGCGCTGCAGTTACGACACCTAGCGGCTAATAAACTCACTGCAGTCGCCTGTTTACATCCACATTCTAAATATTAAAAGTTTCTCTTCTCTACCTTCGTTTGGTTGGTTAGTTTGTGAAGAATACAGTGCAAAGAACGTAATATTCTTGTGAACATTACTACAATAAACTATAGCACAGTCGTATAATAAACACTAAACAGAACAGAACTAACCTGAAGTTTTCTCCCTCCCCCTCTCTCTGTATCTCCAGAGTCCATCCTGGAGTTTTCTCTCTTCCTCCCTCTCTCTCTGTCTCTCTCTCTCTCTGTCTCCTAAGTTAACCCAGAAGTTCGCCACATCAGTTCACACAGCGCTCCTTCCAACAGCCGGCTATATCCACAAACTGAAGCACTAGAAACTCAGACATTTTCAGAAAGATAACAGAAGTAGAACTCGCGACACACAGGGACTTGCCCACACCGGACCATGCCGCAGTCAGTAATATGCAAATATGAAGTTTGCTTCACATGCAAAAGCAACTACTAGTAATCTCCAAGCAGATCATATGGTGGCAAGGCAGTATCCATTGGGTAGAGGAGTGTCCATTAGCCACCACAATATACTTCAGTGGCCGTGCAAACTCCTCTGGCTAATGGATACTGTCTTGCCACCGAAAGGGATCTGCTTGGAGATTTAAAACAACCACCTGTTTCAGAATTTGAAGTTTGTTTTTAGATGTTTACGTACGTTTGATTAATGAAAACTTTTTAGCATATGTGATTAGGAATGTTCAACCCATGCAGTACATTCCAGGTTTCTCTCTGATATCTAGTTACTTGTCAGCCAACTGTCTGCTACACACGTATGGTCCAGGTCGTTGGCCCTACGCGATTGGAACAGAAGAAACTACTAGTAAACAAAACAATGTTTTCCTCCTGTGGATGTAAATATAATCTTCAAGCAGTCGGCCATCTTGGATCCATCAATCCCACCAACATGGCGGAGGCAGATAAAGTTTGCATGCACGCCTAAAAAGTGTGTAACTAATGCAGTGGAAATCGCAGTATATTTCATCTATATTACATCTATCATTAAAAACAAGGGACTTTCCATTTTCCACTGCTACAAAAAGGCAAACCCCACATAGAGAACCTTACAAATAGATCAGGAATGTAGTGTAATACTCATATGTATCCTGACTAACTTTATGCATGTATATTATCACTTGCAATTAAGCTTAGCCCACGTGTATGAATTTGCTATAGAGTGTTATTAATCAGACACGGTAGATGTATTGATGAGGATTCAACCGATGTGTTTTTAACAACTCAAGGCCATATTGGATCCATCTATTCTACCAACATGGCGGAGGTGACCATCTATAAGTTGTGACGCAACTAGTCATATAGAGACGAAAGCAGTACTCTAGTCAGAAGGTCTGAGGAAGGTGTCTGATAGACAAAACATAAGTGAGTGTGGGTCTATATCGGTTGGGTAAAAAGAAGCCCTAATGTGTAACAAGTGTGACTGATGGATCAATAAAAGACAAAAAAGACAACAGAAACACACAAATCTGTCTGAGATCATTTTTACTGAACAGATCTAGAGTCTGTAACAGTGGGTATTACATGACTGTGGTGTTCACGTGATGTTCACATGGTGTTCACATGTCCATGTGATGTTCACATGGTGTTCATGCGATGATCACATGGTGTTCACATCTGTGCTCACATGATGTTCACATGTCTGTGTGATGTTCACATGGTGTTCACATGTTGTCTGTGTGTTCATGTGATGTTCACATGTTGTGCATGTGATGTTCACATGTTGTGCATGCGATGTTCACATGTTGTTCACATGTTGTGCATGTGATGTTCACACGTTGATCATGTGATCATCACATGTTGTCCATGTGATGATCACATGCCCATGAGATGTAGTGAGTTTTACATGACTGTGTCACCATCGATTGAGGGACTATCTAATTCTCTCCTTACCATTCTGACATTGTAAACAGATTTGTACATACCTAAAGTCTAAGACATTATCTATAACAGCTTAACTCTGAGGTTGGCATTTTGAGGCTTTGGCAGTAAATATTTCACTATGTCACAAGTTCTTATAAAGCTCCATCACATTTGTACAGATTACAGTAAAATCTGAGAACATTTTTTTCCGTCTTCATTTTTTCAGCACGATTCTGGCGAGGGACAGGAAACGACGGTTGCACATGACGGCCGCCCAAATATGGGCAGAGCCACGCCTGACGACGGACACGACCACGCCCGACGACGGACAGAGCCACGCCCGACGACAGACAGGACCACGCCCGACAACGGGCAGGACCACGCCCAACGACGGACAGGGCCACGCCCGACAACAGGCAGGACCACGCCCGACGACGGACATGACCACACCTGACAACGGGCTGTACCACAGGCGGGAAATTATGGGAGAAAATTCATCATTTGTAACAACATTTTTCCTATCAATCCTAAGTCTGTACACGGGTTTCCACATGTGCAGCTGCAGGTGCACAGGACACGTCCCAAATACTTACAAATCAGCAGTACAGGTTCAGCAACTCACTGAACACACAGTTCTGTACAGAAATATTCTCGCGAACGATTGGTTACACGGTTGCCATGGTTGCACAGTTGCCATGGATACACAGTTTCCACGGTTACACAGTCACCATGGTGACTAGAATCAGCCGTCCGATCGGTACAGGTTCAGATCATCACTGAACACAAAGTTTTGTACAGAAATTCTTGATTGGTTACACGGTTGCCATGGTTGCACAGTTTCCATGGTTGCATGGTTTCCATGGTTACATAGTTTCCATGGTTACACGGTTGCCATGGTTACACAGTTTCCATGGTTACACGGTTTCCATGGTTGCACGGTTTCCATGGTTACGCTGTTGCCACGGCGACTAGAATCTGCCGTCCCGATCGTGGTACTTGGGCGAGGTGTTCCGCAGCCCCTCGGACTTGGTGAAGTCGATGCTGGCGTACGGATTCTCGTCCGCCTTGTCCTCGGAGCTCACGCTGCTCCGCGGGGAACGCGTTGCCTTGGCAACGGGATGCTGTTCGTCGCCGGCGGCAACGCCCTCGCCCTCGTCGGAGGGCAGGTCGAGCGAGATGTAGTTCAGTTCCTTCTCGCTGCTGACGGACGAGTGGCGGGAGCCGGGCTGGGATTGCGACTGCGCCAGGCTGCATGCGCCGCCCTTCTGCGAGCCGAGCGAAACGTTCTCGTACGAACCGGACACTGACGCCGGACTCGCGCCGCCCTCCGGACTCTCCTTCGTGCTGTTCTTCACGACAGAAATATCCGCGGACGTGCTGAACACCGGGCTGTGTCTGATCACGCCTTGAGAGGACAAACCTTCATCCTCACTCGTCAAACTGTCCTGTTTCAGCAACCCCGGCGGTTTTCCCACAGGCTTCTCCGCGATGGTGACGGGAGCCATGAGGGAGTAATCGCTCACGTGGATCTTCGGCGAAGGCTTCTCGGACGGATACGTCAGGTTCATGTACTCGGAACCGTCCCCTTCTGCGCCCGATCCCGGCCCGTCTGTGCCCTTAGAGAGAAAGAGAGAATGGTTTATTCGCAACCTTTACAGGGCTTGAAATACTTGGTGCATGTGCACCTTAGTGCACCCAAATTTGTAGCTGTGCACCCAATTTTTTCGGTGGGTGCACGAGAGTAAGACGCCAGAGGTGCAACAGTGCACCCAAATATTTCGTAGGTTTACCTGATGTCCAATGTATAGTAATACATAGCATATTCTTAACATCCAAGTGTGAGAAAAATAAAATCATTGCACGTTTCTTTACAAATGAAACATAATTAGTTTTTTAGATGACATTCTACTCATTCTATTTCATACGGTGTACCCAAAAATATTTTTGTGCACCCCACTTTTTACATTGGGTGCACCAGTGCACCTATTCCCAAAAATGAACAATAAACAAACAAACAAACCTTGGTGCTGTAGTCGATATTGACGTACTCCCTGGGGCTGTGTTCTCTGGATAAACAAACAAACAAACCTTGGTGCTGTAGTCGATGTTAACGTATTCCCCAGGGCTTCTCGGTCGACTGGACTCCTCCCCGGAGTAAACAAACAAACAAACCTTGGTGCTGTAGTCGATGTTGACGTACTCCCCGGGGCTTCTCGGTCGACTGGACTCCTCTCCGGAGTAGATTCCAGACTCCGAGGTCGACGTTTTCCCGTCCGCGGCGCTCGTTCGCGACTCGTCTGAACTCGCCACGCCTCCGTCACCGGAGATGTAGTCCATCGCCGCGTACCTGGAATGAAATAAAGTGGGAATTACTTTCAAGCAATGAAGCAAAGGTGCTCCCCTCTGCCCAAAATCCTAGCACCTCTCCCAAAATCTTTAAATATAGGGTTTTCTCTCAGTATTTCATGAAAATTTGCTGATTTTTCAACTTATCAGGGAGTTATGTGTTACATTATTTTGCTATTGTGGTCGATGTATCTATGTTTTGTATGTTTCCGTGTAGTCCATGGCATACCTGGAATGAAATGAAGTGGGAATCGTTCTTAAGTTGATGTACAGGGATCTCCCCAAGCAATGAAGCAAAGGTGCTCCCCTCCTCAAAATCCTAACACCTCTGGTTTACTCTAAACCCCTCCTGCTATAAAAATTGCAACATGCTGTAACCCAACACCAGTTACCATGGTGACAGACGTTTGGTTCAGGTCATTTGGAGAAGAAGAGGAAGAAGAGACAGAGCAAAAACAATACGTTTTTCTTCTGCGAGGGTAAACATTATAATTATTATTTTTAAAGCACTGCTCTATCACTGAGAGAGCTACCATGGCTAAAGAAAACAAAAATAAACAAATAAGTAAGTAAAGAGTACCCTTCTGATGCAGCGGTGGGCGTGACATTGATATACTCATGCTGATTGGTCAGCCTGAGTGTTGTCGGCCGCACAGTCCCGCCCGGCGACGACGATAACCGATGTTCCGCCGGGAGAGAAGACGAGAGGCGCTCTGACTCCGATTTCGCGCTGAAGTCCATGGCCATGTAGTTATCCTCCTCCGTAGTGGCGGACGTGTTGTTGGGTCGTCTCGGCTGCATCTCCATGTGGACATAACCGTCGCTCGCTTCCATCTGTCCTTTCTCTATAACGGCTGCAGGAGGTGGGGAGTCCGAAGATGGGGAGTACACGATGTACGTGTCTGGAACTGAGACATACAACAGCATGGGTTAGCGTACAGGTTAGCGGGGGAGTACAGGGGGAGTACACATTGTACATGTCTGGAACTAAGGGGGGAGAAACATGTGAACATTACAGGATAGTCTGGAGAGGGAAGAGATGGGTAAGTATAAAAACTCTAATGATAGAGAGTACATGATGTAGGTGTCTGGAACTGAGAGGGGATAGAGAAGTAAAAACTAATGTAGTATAAAAAGCAAAATGTTCACACAGTCGAGCCTAACAATTGAAACTACTGCTCTGTTTATTCACACTCAAACGCGTTTTTCTTCTGCAAAGGCAAACACAATAAAGTCTAAGTCTTGAATAAAAACGTACTAGAAGTGTTAGGCAGTGCCTGTGCGACCGGGGACATGCTCATGTAGGAAGAGTCGTCGTTGTTGTTGTTGTTCTGTCGGTTGTCGGGTCTGGGCTGGTTCTGATTGGCCCAGATCTGCATGTACTCGGGGTGGTCAGGTGACCGGCTGCCGGGCGACATCGTCACGTAAGGGTCCCCGTTGCCATGGCGACGGTGGAGGATCTGTCGGGGTGCGGAGACACTGGACGGGCTCATGGACATGTAGGACTCATCCACTACAGGGGGATATGAGAGCATATTTGTTTGAAAAACTGCAAATAAGCGAGAAAGGTAACATTTGCAAAGCAATTACATAATGTTCAACTTCACATGGTCTAGCCTGTCAAACTCTGACTATAAACTAGTGTTCTGTTTATTCTTACTCAAACACAATATATGGTGACCAAGCCCTGGTACATAATATAACCCAAACACCACAGGGTATCCACTATTGCACTAGTTACCATGGTGACAGCCATCTGGTCAAAGTCAGTGACCTTATTTGTTTGAAACAGAAGAGGAAAGCAAGCTAAAACAACTTATTTCCTTCTGTGAAGGTTAACGTCACAAGTGCAGTATCAGTTACCATGGTTACAGCCATCTGGTCGAGGTCAGTGACCTTATTTGATTGGAACAGAAGAGGGAGAAGAAACAGAGCTACATTGTAAAACGATGTGTTTTCCTTCGGTAAACATAATAAACACAAGGTGTTATCTTACGTCTCATGTCGGTGGTGGTGGGCGGGGTTCCGGGGGACATCGGCATGTACCCGTCCTCCAGGCGCGAGCTCAAGGTCGTGGGGCTTCCGCGGCCGATGGCGCCGGACATCGGCATGTAGGAGCCGTCCTGGGGGGTAGAGCGGGCCGGGTAACCCACGTCCTGGGGCGCTGACCGACTGGGGTAACCTCCTGGGAAAGACAGTAGAGTTAGATGTTCACATGGTTATCACATGAGAGTTAGATGTTCACATGGTTATCACATGATAGTCACATGGTAGTCACATGGCAATCACATGATAGTCACATGGCAATCACATGATAGTCACATGGCAATCACATGATAGTCACATGGTGTTCACATGGTAGTCACATGAGAGTGGAGCGGGCCGGGTAACCCACGTCTTGGGGCGCCGACTGACTGGGGTAACCTCCTGGGGGGGAAGGAACAGGGGGGTTAGGTCACAGGGTGTTCACATGATAGCCACATGATAGTCACACGGTAGTCACATGGCAGTCAAATGATAGGCTCATGTTGTTTACATGGTATTCACATGCTGTTCACATGTCCCTTACTTACTTATCCGTCCCCCATGGGACAGTGGACCTTACCTGGGAAGGCGGGTGCCATGGGGCACATATCCGTCCCCCCCTCCCTCCTCTCGGATGGGCCGTGTGGGCTGGTGAGTCTGGCGTCAGGCTGCGGCCGACGGGACGTATCGTCTGGAACAAACAAACAACATTCTGTCAGTATCGTACCAGGCTTGTGTACAATGTCTATGGGAGACAAGGTCCCCTAGGTACTTAATCCTGAAGTGATCGCTGGAGTCGTACCGGGCTTGTGTACAATGTCTATGGGAGACAAGGTCCCCTAGGTACTTAATCCTGAAGTGATCGCTGGAGTCGTACCGGGCTTGTGTACAATGTCTATGGGAGGCAAGGCCCCCTAGGTACTTATTGAAGCTAGTCATCACTGGAGGCCGGGCTGGAGTCGTCCCAGCCTTGTGTACAATGTCTATGGGAGGCAAGACCCCCTAGGTACTTACTGTAGGTAGTGATCGCTGGAGGCGGGACTTGAGTCGTATTCGTCCATGGATACCGTGCTCCCGTCGCTCGTGTATTCCATCAGTCCTCGGCTGATCGGCAGCGGGTGGGAGTACTGGTCAGACGCAAATCCTGTCGGGCTCGGGCTGGAAAAACAAACAAACATCAATCTCAGGCCATAACTTAAAAACGGGTGTCTTTCACGATCACGTACACAAAGAAAATGGTCTCATCCCAGTATATACGACTGTTTTTCTGAGAAAATGGTCTCACACCAATGCTTACAAGTTAGTGTTTTTTAAAAAAATGGTCTCATATCAATGTTTACTTCTGATTGTCTCAGACCAGAGTTTACCTGAGGGGGCTGCCTGAGATGGGGGACTGGGGTCTCCCCCCGAGGTTTGATGGCCTCCCCCTGGAGTTTGCTTACCTGAGAGGGCTGCCTGAGATGGGGGACTGGGAGAGTGACCCGGCGGCCGATACGGAGCGGTTGAACATCCCGTGGGACGCGATGACGGACCGCGGGCTGCTGCGCTGGTGGATCGCCGATAACCGCGTCCGATTCCTGCTGGGGCTGTGGGAAGGGAAACAATAGGTTCATCACTGTTATTCTTGCTGTTAGTGAAAGTGAAAGTTGTCCTGTGTAATTAATGAAAGTGAAAGTTTTGTGATGAAAGTGAAAGTTGTGTGATGAAAGTGAAAGTTGTGTGATGAAAGTGAAAGTTGTGTGATGAAAGTGAAAGTTGTGTGATGAAAGTGAAAGTTGTAGTGAAAGTGAAACTTGTGTAACAAAAGTGAAAGTTGAGTAATGAAAGTGAAAGTTGTGTGATGAAAGTGAAAGTTGTGTGATGAAAGTGAAAGTTGTGTGATGAGTGAAAGCTGTGTGATGAAAGTGAAAGTTGTGTAATAAAAGTGAAAGTTTGTAACAAAAGTGAAAGTCTGTAATGAAAGTGAAAGTTGTGTGGTGAAAGTGAAAGTTGTAGTAAAAGTTGTAGTGAAAGTGAGAGTTACCTGACAGGACTGTTGGTCTTCATCTCGCCCTCGGACGTTGTCCTGTACCGTGCGCCGCCCCTCCCCGGGGCGGTGGGTAGTGAATCACAGCGCATGCGGCTGCGTGTGGGGAGGGTGTGGGACAGCGGCATGGTGGGGACGGTCCCGGTCATGCGCCGCCCCGCCGGCACAGGCAGCGGGTTGGACGAACCACTGCTGCGGCTCCGCGGCCGGAACTCATCGTCTGAACTGATCGCCTTCATCGAGCTGGGGAAGGGGGGAACAAAAGGTTACATAGGCAGCTCTCAAGAGATCTACAGGGAAAACATTCCTCCCTACATCAGGAATAACTGAAACACTGACTCAATGATTCCTTCAGTCATATTTTGTTAAAACTGAAATAAACCTGTTGTAACCCAAGGATGACTTCAAGCTTGTTCACCCCTAACCCCTGACCTGTACTGACCTGAGCATGGCCATAACCCCTGACCTGTACTAACCTGATGACCCTGACCTGTACTGACCTGAGGATGACCCCTGACCTGAGGATAACCCCTGACCCGCACTGACCTGAGGATGGCCCATGCATGTTGACCCCTGACCTGAGGATGACCACTGACCCCTACTGACCTGAGGATGGCCTCGTGCATGTTGACCCCTAACCCCTGACCTGTACTGACCTGAGGATGGCCTCGTGCATGTTCTGTGCGACCAGTGTGTCCTCCACCTGCATCCAGAGTTCCCCGGCTCCCGTCACCGCCGACCGACCCACCTCCATCAGGAAAAAACTTTCCACATGCCCGCAGCGCCGGATCTGTGTTAACTGGAACATAAAACATACAACTGGGTTAGTTCTGCCTGTACACACTCACACTCACACCAAACACTGCGACATCAGGAAAAAACTTTCCACGTGCCCGCACCGACGGATCTGTGTTAACTGCAACATAAACCACACAACTGGGTTACTTCTGCCTGTACACACACTCACACACACTCACACTCACACTAAACACTGCGACATCAGGAAAAAACTTTCCACGTGCCCGCACCGACGGATCTGTGTTAACTGCAACATAAACCACACAACTGGGTTACTTCTGCCTGTACACATGCCTGCACCGATGGATCTGCTTTAACTGGAAAGTCACGCACATCTGCTTACTTCTGGTTAACATTTGTGTGACACTAATACACACTCTAAAACATGTTTCAGGCTAAAGCACCACTGAGGAATTTCCCACAGAAAACAAGGGCTTCAGGTGCTTCAAGTGCTTTATTTCCTCCATAGTGATACCAGTACAAAAGTGTTACCTGAAAGTCCATGGCAGGTTCCTCTGAGTTCATCTTGAGTAGCGTGATGCTGTTGGCCGTGAGACAGAGTCTGTACTGGCCGGTCAGGTTCTTAGAACTTCCTAAACCCTTGGGCTTCAGCGTCACCTGCCATACATGCTCTGTAGAACACAACAATGGTTAACACACATGTTCTGTGGAACATTAGAATTTAGAACACTCATTCTATAGAACATTAGAACACGGGTTACCGCACCTTCCATAGAGCATTAGAACACTGGTTATCGCAGGTTCCATAGAACACAAGAACACCTTATTATTTGTTCTTTAGAATACTAGAATAGTTCTAATGAACACTAGAAGTAGAACAGTGCTTATATAGAACACTAGAAGTATAGAACACACCACACACTCTACCAAACACGAGAGAACATAATGCATAAATGTAAGAACACTGGTTATCACACATTTTACATAGGACACAAGAATTGCAAGTGTTGTTTGAGTCCTATAATATGATATATAATAATAACATTAAATGGTTTATTGTCCAAACAATACCCACCGAAGTTCTGTTTGCTAATGAATCCTTCCTGTGAACCAGACTCGTGCAGTTCCTTTAAAACAGCGAGCCAAACGTCATGTTCGTCTGCCGTATCCGCCACGAGCGAAAAACACTCATCTCTGGTGTACAGGACGATCATGTGCTTGTGTTTCCCGTCCTCCTTCCTGTTGATGTTGAAGCAGTGATGCAGGAAGATCGTGCGTTTGGGCGCCGCGCCGTGACGCCATTTTTTCTCGTTGTCAAAGTACTCGAGACGGGCCGCCCCCGCGCTGCTTTTCGCGTGGAGGACGAAATATCGCTTCTTCATAGTCTGGGGAAACAACAAATAGGATTTCAGTATAAAGTACAGGGTTTCAGTACTTAACACAGGGCTCTAGTTCTGTTAGTTCAATTTAGTGATGGATGTCATTTGAAATATCCAAACTTCTTGAACACAAACTTGTAAGCAAGAGCATCCCTAATTAAGTAGTAATTGTTTGCATGTTTGTGCCTTAAGAAACGCTTGTTCATTGTCTAGAGAAATAAGAAAAATTGGCAGTTTCATTACAAAGTACATGGATTTAGTACCTAACACAGGGCTCTGGTTTTGTTAGTTCAATTTAGTGATGGATGTCAATCGAACAATCCTGAAAATAATTTCCACATTTTATCCAGTAGTAGAGTTTCGTTTCTTGAGTATTTTTCACCTGGATGACTCTTCATCAATTCCATCTTGGAAGTAAGAACATCCATGTTTGTTTGTCTCAAATTGTCTGTGCCTTTGAAAACTTACTACATATATAATATGAGTTTTGACTGCCAAAAACTTGTTGCAGCTTATGCAATGGTTATACTGGCAACTTTTGTACAGTTGGCTGCCATAGTATACAACTTACATACCAGTATATGTACATATCATTATAACACTGGGAATGTGTGATTAGAAAAAAAAACACACGCAAAAAACGTCAGGCATCAGGACTCCTTCTTCTGTCCAGTTGAACTGTTCCTTGTTATTTAGTACAGACACAAGTTCATGTTGTATTTAGTAGTGAAGGTGCATGTCCAAGATCAAGTTTATCTAGTCAGGAGGGTGCATTTCAGGTCATCACTACCATCACACAACAGAAACCTTCATTTCAAAAACTCAGGACCTCAAGCCAACTCAGTTCAGTTCATTGGTTCTCAGATGTCCCCCCCAACTATCATGACAACAGCATGTTCAGAATCAGTGTGAAACATGTCCTTAAAACTGTGAACACCAGGAAAGTTCCCCTCAGGATTTTCAGGAATATATTAGGAGTGTCTGAGAACCAACAAATTAACTTGATGATGCCTCATCCTCCTAGAATTTTTTTTTTTAGAATGGACAGAGATTAGGTACAGGTTTAGTCACATGTTTAACCTTCTCCATGCTAAAATAGCCTTTTGCTACCAGGTTTGCATAGTTTTGAGGTTTTTCAGCAGTGAGAAGGTTAACTTCTGGTGCAGAAAATGTCGGGTAAAGAAGAAAACAGACAAAAATTCGGGTACATGAATGTTGCACACCTAAAAAAACAGAACCCGAGCAGGCATCGCTAAAAATGGTGTAAATCCAAGTCCAAGTTAGCATGTCAGCGTAACGTACTGTACCTGCACAAAACCCACAATTTTCACAGTTTTCATTCATCATTGCATGTTTGCATTTTTAATGGTCAACTTTTCACACAGGCGCAGTACGTTCTGCTGACATGTTGTCCACATTCAGTCTTGTATCAACTACAGTCTAGTCCCACAGAATCTCCATGTTCGATGCAGGATTGTCTCCAAATCCCATGCAGGTCCATATCAGTCCATTCCACGTAGGAAACTCTTTAATTCTTACCCCTACATACAAATAGTCCTGCCTCAACGTCCACCTGGCCTGCTCAAAAAATATGGAGTTAATCATGTGGTTGGTGCTTCATGTTTAGCACACATACAGACACAGACACACAAAAAGTCATATCATACACCCACACACATGCGCACTTAGACACACGCACATACAATTGAATAACACAGATACACACACACACACACACGTACTAACACAGAGACACCACATGCACAAATACACTCACAAAACACACCTGGCCTGATTAAAAATGATGGCATTGAAATGATTGATATGGTTGGTCTTTCAGGAATAGATGTGCACACACAAACACTACTACACATGGACACACACATACAGACACACAGAGAGACAGACAGACAAACACACACTGACACAGATACACACGCGCGCACACACACACACACATATATGGACACACACACACACTCACTCAAATACTCCCACATGAATATGAACTTACTATATACATGTAACTTACTTAAGAGGTTCTTTATTCAAAAACCAGTGGAGTTTTTCTTCTTTAGAAGATGACAAACTTTGTTGCTGATACTCTAACAAAATTTCTTGCCAATCTGATTAAAATTACTCATGTATGGATGAATGTAAACTCCCTAACAGGAACAGGAACAGACAAGATGATGTGACTCAGGTGTTTTGAGCTCAGACCTGTCAGCTGACAAAAAGTCATCCGTCATTAATTATTATCATCAAATTAATGAGTCACTTCCTGATTAACATAGAAATTGAGCTTTCATTGCTCAATATTATCAAATCATAGCAATTTTCCAAATGCAAATCAGAACCTACTTAGAATAACCCACACCTGACATCCACGCATACTTAATATAACTTCCTACAAAGTTCCGACCACGTGGAAACAACATCCAACAGTCCACACACAACAAAAAAACCTAGCTTGGGTCACAGTCTTTTCTAGGGTCGGTTGGGAAACAGGAAACACAACATTTTCTCTCCTAGGCCTTACAGTACTACCCAACAAACTACAAAAGGGACTTAAAGGCATCCAATACATAAAATTGGAAATATCCTGAATAAGGCAATCTCTATTATATTGATTGACATATACTGTTCCACATTGGCACTTTTGAACCAGTATTTCATACTTTGGGCTTTTAAAACAGAAACAAGCCCCAAGATGAGTCCTTCATTTTCTGGGTGGTACCCTAAAAATCAATCCAGGTCCTTTCAGTTTGGGAATGTTTGCTCCATGAGGGTCAATATACATGGGATAGTGTGGTTTCAACTCAGTATGTAGCTAAGTGACTAGAAATAGTAGTAGTAGAATATTGACTTCGAAAAAAAACTGGTTTCCAAGCACTAAAAAATGCAATTGGTTGCCTTTAGGGATAGCTGACCTCAGGTGCACCTGCTAACCTCCACTCACACAGGAAAACAACAACATCCCCACTCGTACATATGCATCCACTAACGAGATAACGGCATTAATTACTCCTAATTACCAGATAAGAGCCATTGGATCAGCTGGTGGATTGGAGGATAATAATAAGGATGAATAAATGGCCTCTGTGTGTTTACATTCGTAAAGTTGTTGTTTTTGTTGTGCTTTCTTTATGTCTATCATCATTTTGCTACACTTCCTCTCACCCTGGTATCGTACAGACAGCACGCCCCCCCCCCTTGCCCATACCCTGTCCCGTACTCCCCCCTCGGAACCTCAATTTCCCATCCAAGCCAGCCTAGCAGGGACCAATAGGCGGGCAGCATTTCGGCCACACCGACAACCCGCGCTTTAACAAGATATGGTTGAAAAAGATGTTTCTCAAACTTGTTCAAAAGATACATTTGTAAATTGTTTTCTGAAATTCTGTGTCTTTGAATAGTTGGAGCAAAATAACTACCGGCACTGGGCTTCTGGTGCTTACGTCGGCCGTGCGGCGTACAAAACGTATCTTAGGCCAAGTCTATGTCTGTGAAAATGTAAGAAAAGAGGCCTTGCAGTCCTGATTAAACTTGTTGTCCCGATTAAACTTTGTTACCCAGGCGGTATGATCTCGAAAATATGAGTGGCAGCATCTCGATACCCTTTTTAGACAAGGTCTGATTTGCCGATTCCGAGTTTCCAGTGCTGAAGCCACCGACACACCAAGTGTTGACGTACCTTCGGCACTGGAGATCTTGGACGGAAGCCGCCTCAACTCTGTATACCGAGTGCTGAGAAAGGAACCCGTAACTTCGGTACTTGCATTATTTTCACCCCAAATACACCAATTCTTACATTGTTTATCTGACATTTCCAACTCCGATTACCTGCCGCGCCGTACGGAAGGATGCTGTTCAACCCCATTGTCGAATGGAATCGACCGCAAAGTGGGCGCGGCGCGGAATGCTGGTCACTCATTGGTCGCCGCTAGGCTATGTGGATGTGAAATTGATGTAGGCCTCCCCCCTCCCCCTCAGGCCCTGTCCCGTAGAGACAGTACCCCCCTACAATACACACCCTGCTCTCCCCTCAGCCAGCCTTGGACCGTATTCAGCATGTCCCTCCCCTGACGCCGTTCCGTACTCCCCCTGTACCGTCCTGTACGTACCATCCTGTATACACACTCCCTCCATACCCTATCGGTACACATGGTACCCTTCCCCTGTACCCTATCCTGTACCCTATCCCGTGCTTCCTCCGTCCCGTATACACAGTACCCCTTAACTCCGTCCTGTCCCAGTTTCTTCAGCTATCCGTGTTACCCCCACATACACAGACCCCCCCCCCCCCCCATACCCTGTCCCATACACACAGTACCCACCAGTACAGTACCATACTCCCTAGTCCCGTACCCAGTTCTGTACTTACCGTGCCTCGTACACACAGTACCCCTCCCCTGTCCCATACTCCCCCCGATACACACAGTAACAGACCCACCTTGAGTTTCTTGAGATATCCGTGTTTCCCCCCTCCCCCTCCCTCCCATACCCAGTACTGTACCCTGTTCCATACAGACACTACTGCCCATCACACCCCCCACCCCTGGCCCTGTACCCTGTCCTGTACCCTGCCCCCTACATACACAGTTCCCCTTCGTGCCTTACCTTGAGTTTCTTGAGATATCCGTGTTTCCGGACGTCCCTCGGGCGTGTCTCCACCACCAGACATCATGGCGGCTGCAGAAAAACAACAACACCACAAAAAACACCCGTCAAAATCCACAAAACGCCCCAAAATTCCCCAAAATCGCACCCAACTTACGAAAAGGGGGAGGGGGGGGCAGTGGTGGCTAATTTTTCAACGTGGGTGGGAAGGATTTCGGACTCGGGAGTTGTGCGACGCTCGTACAACAAAACCCGACTCACCTCGACCGGGAAACTCCGCAGGAACTGTCGAGGGGACTCACTCTACCGTCTGTCAAAATTTGGCGGCGGTACGACGTAAAAATCCGGAGTTACGCGTAAAAAAACAACATGTTTTTCCGAAATACGCATCGCTCTTTCCTTCCACCATAATACCTCGGGTCACGTGACATCCGACACGGCGCGCCACGGCGCATGCGCGCGCGCCGCGAGTCGTAAACAATGACGTCACTACGGCCGACTCCCTTCCGCGAAATTTTATGGCTTTTTTGGGACGTTTTCTGGATTTTTTGGACGTTTTCTGGATTTTCGTAAAGTTTTCTGGATTTTCTGGACTTATCATGATTTTTCAACACTTTTCCTAGCTGGTTTTGGGGACGTTTTCTGGATTTTCGGGACTTTTTCTGAATTTTAGGAACGTTTTCTGGATTTTCGGAACGTTTTATGGACTTTCTGGAGGTATTCTGGATTTTTGGGACCGGTTTTCTGGATTTTAAGAACGTTTTCTGGACTTTCGTGACGTTTCCTGGATTTTTGGGACGTTTTCTTGATATCCAACCGGGACGTTTCCTGGATTTTCTGGACATTTTTGTGCGTTTGTAATATAAAACGTAACATTGCAAAAACTATATGAATATAGTAATATTATTTCTTTTGTCCCGCCTTGTATTTTTTCGCCCTGTCGCATTAGATTTGTAGTCTGTGGAGGATGTCATCCATAAAATTTACTTGCGGTTGCCTAAGTTATTAGCCTCTACCAGGCACGGTGGATTACTCTCCAAGCAGAGGTTGTGGGGTAATGATCCTTAGCTTTTTATATATGGCCGTTTGTTTTTGTCCTGACCCCCACCCGTGGGTGGCCGGCGACCTTCTCTGGCTAATGGATACCGCCTGGCCACTTTGATACTGTCTTTTTGCCTCCGAGAGGGATCTGCTTGGAGATTAGCCACGGATCGCTGGAAAAATAGTAGAAATTTGCCGAAATAAAGGAAGGTATACCAGCGAGTTAGCCGGCCAGAGAAGATCCAATTCGGCTAACTGCGGTGGTATACTATTCCTTTATTTCGGCCAATTTCGACTATTTTTCCAGCGATCCGCGGTGCCTGGTAGAGGCTAGTGATCTAGGAAAATCCCATTTTTCTTGTACGGGGGTGATTTGAAAGTCCATACTTGCAATCATTTTGGAATGATCCATTGTTGTAGAGGAGGCGAGGAGCAATTTTTGACTGACGCATATTAAAACGGATTTGAAAAAAAAGGCCAATTTTTCCCAGTTTTTTCTTACAATTTTTGCTGTATTTTCATTCAGAATATTTCCAGTTTTGCAACAATGGACTTTTCCTAAATGTGGCATTTCCAAAAATAACGTGATATCTCTAGATTAACCCTTTTAATTATTCAGTAAAAACCAAAGAAATTTGCAAAAACAACCTTTAATTTATTGCACATTCATGTTTTATTGATGAATGAAATATACAGTCAAATGATACATATTTACATGCGGTAAACAACGCTTACATTAAATCTCTCAAGAAACATTCATTTTCAAATGATATCGTAATATTTTATGCACCATACTTGTACGTACAAATTGTAAACTTTACGAGTAATATTACTACGTTAATATTGTGAAATTTTAAAATTTCGTGAAGTTTGTAACCGAGGATAACATCATATACAGAAAACGATTATGTGTTTCCATATTTGTTACAATAAAGTTTTTCTACTTCTAACCAAACGGGTTTTACACAAGGAGGCTAGCTGGTCCTGATGTTCTCTCCAAGCAGAGTTTAGGTTTGGGGTTATTTGTAGCGTGTTTTTAGGCGTTTTATCGGGGTTTCTCTTTTGCACTGAATTTTTTCCCACCAAACCCCCCAAAAAAATTCAGTACAAAAGAGAAACCCCGATAAAAAAAACTAAAAACACGCTAAAAATAACCCCAAACCCAAACCTCTGCTTGGAGAGTAGTCCTGATGTTCGGCGATTTTCATCCAGCAAAATACCGTGACGGCGGCTTCAGCTGTATTATAACAAACAGAAACAAAAACAACATACAAAGAACAGGTACACAAGTACACATACCAGCCGAGACACAAATAAACATTGATCAAGAGCAAGTATTTATCTCGTAATGGATTTACGGAAGGATACTTTTAGTTAATTGTGAATTTTTACCGCATTTGTGGAAAGATTGACGAAACAGGTGATTGCTAGCCTCCATAGCATGCCAAAAACTTTTTTTTTTGGGGGGGGGTCTTTGGGAGCTTTTATGTTTTATTTCTGATTGAATATAGACAACATAGCCGGCCTGGTTGAATTACCCCCGTTAGAACTGGGCTAATCAGAAAACAGCCGAAGACCACAAAACCCCCAGTTCTATAAGCCTGCTACGGAGGTTAGGTGATTACCGCCTCTTCAAGATTCTTCAAGAAATACGACATTGGGATTAAGATTAACAGAACCAGTACACCTTTAGAAAGGATACACCGCAGAAAAGGCAGTTTCTGACTTGAAGACTGCGTCTTTAGAGCCAGGAGACAATTCACATCCTCAAGCAGTCAGTCTTCAGGGAGACGTCTTTGCGGGCCTGTGTTGCAAGAAAAAAAGGACAGGAAGAAGGAACAATCACGTTAGTGTCAGATATTCAAAGTCGCCAAACGTCGCCCTGTACTGGGCCGACAAACTACAACATACACAAATTACAATATTGCACTAGTAGCATTACATATAAGATCACTCAATAATTCCAATCGTCCAATCCTTCATTCCTTCAGCCAGCCATTCATTCATTCACTCCCTCACTCGTTCCTCCCTCCATTCCCGGATGTAACATGACCTTGACCCGGCGGTGAACTCTGACCCTGATGAAAATGTGGCGATTCTGAAACAGAGAAACAAGGACAGCATGAAATTCACAAGCTTCAGTATCACATATTAGACCAGTGCATTTCAGACATTTTGTTTTTCCATGAATACAATTCTGGAACAACACTTATAATAGACACTTTTTAAAACCCCAGTAATTTAAGCGTTTGCGGTGTGTGCGAGGAAAGGACGACAGCATGGCCAATGTTTTGTTTGTATTGCAAAACACTTTATTCAATGTAATTTTTGTACAATTAATGCAAAATTACAACTTGAGCATATGAACAATTTTTCATCTCCATAACCTTTACATACGCTATAAAACCTTAAAACATTTTGAATGTTTTAGAGATAATTTGACTAAGCTAAACTGTGTGTGTGCAGTGTGTGTGTGTAAATACAGAGAGTAGAAAGATACGATATAGTAACGTTGGGGGGGGGGGCTAAGAAAAGGGCAAGCGCTACAACTTACACCCATAAGGCACCCCAGGGGTTCGGCACGAGCCTAACAGACTTTATATCATTATTTACAAACTACTTAAAACATTTATCAGTACCCCAAAGCTACCCTCCCTTCCCTGATGGGGCAAGCACAAAGCAAAACCATGAGTTGGGCCTAAACCCCAGAAAACTAAGCAAGCGGGTCAGACCCCCCTTTTTTTAGACATGGGAAAGAAAGACATGTTAGAAATCAAATTGTAAATAAATACTGTTCTAATTCTTATCAAAATCCATCTAATTCCTAAAGAGCACGTCTTTGGAATTCTATGGATTTTAGTGGTGTCAATTCACGTGGGTTCTAACTTCTAACATAAATATATGGAATTCTATCGGGTTTGTGTACGTGCGTGCGAGTGATTGCGAAAGGACGACACAAATTTTTGCATTGTAACATTTTTGTGTTGTAAGATATCTTATCCAACCGCGCTGCATTGTGGGCATCATGTTTTGAGTCTCCAGGGTTTTCGCGAGTTACTTTTATAAAACGCACGGGTTAAAACTATACAACGTTTACTTCTATACCACGCACGTTTTACAACTATAACAACGTCGCGAGATGCCCCGCGCACTGCAAGCAAGCATTAAGTACAATTTAACCATTGATATACAAAAGCAACCACGTGAAATGCCACCACTAAGATTCTACCCAAGATTTCATGGAATTTTCACACAGTTCCATGAAAACTGGTTAACTACTACACAGTAAGTAAGTAAGGAATGTCGTGTACCACTCACAATATTCCTTACTTCGGATCTTCACCCATCCAATTCCACAAGAGTATAAAGTCTTGGGAATTCTATGGATTTTGACATGGCATGTGAAACAACATATTCATACAACAAAGCAAGAAACAAGGCTTTCGCGCTTCAAGCCGAATTACAACTATACAACGAGTTACAAATATACAACGCACGAATTACAGATATACACGGAACGCACGAGTTACTTCTATACAGCGCACGCATCTTTTCGTTGCCAAGGCAACTGCCTGCCTTCATAACATAAAAGATGGTAGACTTGCTGTAAAGCATTTTTACATCCGCGCATAGCAAGCGGGGGAGGGGGAAAAGCAAATTTTCACACGAGGTAGGAAAGTAAGAGAAACGCCAACTCACCCCCGCCATGTTGGAAGCAAACTGTACAGGAACATCTGATTTACACAACTATAATGCCAAACTTCGGACTGTTCCATTTGTTTCTACAGGTAAGTTCTTCGTACGTTACATTATTACAAGAAGTTCCCTTAACTGCCCAAACGGCGAAATTAGCTATAGGTTAGGGCCATTTGATATGCATATAATATTTTTCAAATTTGGTATTTGACAAACCTACGATTATAATGTTCTTGTAATAAAGAAATTATTATAAATCACCCCCCTCCCAGTTTAGATACAATGGTTTCGTCCGGCAGTACCTGCGCTCCCCACCTGTAGCAAATGACG